AATTAATGTAAAACAATAATATTAAAAATACCTAGCTTATGTTATTTAACTAAAAAAGAATATAAGTACCTACAGTTTTTTGTGCTTTAAATTAAGTTAATACAAAATCACTAATACAAAAGTTATACTTAATTAACTGTGATTTGTAAAAACTACAAACAATCTTAATTAGTCAAAGTTGAAGTTATATTATATGATACAAACAAAGAAGTTAAAGCTGTAATATAGAATTTCAAGAACATTTTGAATATTCAACAATGAATACATTATAATAGGCGTATTCATAACAGCCTTTGTTAAATATTTTTTATGCGAGGTAAATTGTCAACGGATAACGCTTACAATATTGTCCTATCTATTTGTTAATAGACTAAATTTTACTATAAGAGATAGTTTTTTAAAACTGACGTTTTCTTAATATTCAACTCATATAATATATTCTTAATATGTTTGGTAACTTAATTTATTAATATATTTTAATATAAATAACGTATCATATGAGGTATATGTATACATCATGGTTATTTTAAAATTACACAGCTTAAAATAAAATATAAATAATGAGGAATGCAAAATTGTACACAATAATATGAAAAATGAATTTAAATGTTTATAGTAGAACAGATGGATACACAAATATTATCAAAATTATAGAATTTTCGTAAATTTATTATGCATTTGTTAATAATGAGTATTATTGAGTACCTACAGTTTTTATTATACATTGTAAGTATGATGTTCTATCTGACTTAAAAGTTTCTTAAGCAGTAAAATTGTTTTCTCATTTCCTTAATGTTTTACACTTAAACTTGTAAACATTTTCTAAAATATAAAATACCCAGTTTTTAAAATTTTTATAAGGCTGTAAACATTTTATGTTGCGTAATCGAATTCACGTTTTACGTAAAAGTCTTAAAATATTTCCACCATCTAAAAAACCATAATTGAAACTATTCAAAGTTTATATAAGATAACAAAAAAAAACTACTTTACAACGTCTTTGATCTGCTCAAAAACTTGAAACAATATGGTTACAAACAACTAAAAATTACACGCATGGCTGTCTAAGGATTAGCGAGCTCTAAGAAAAACATACAATTATGAGGCTCGGAAATAGTTGCAGAGCCTAACATGCTGTATTAACGTATACGTAAAAGTGTGTTTAAAATAACCATTCTATATTGATTCAGAGTATAATCGAATTCAGATGAATTTATTTTATTTTGGTATAAGSAGAAAAATGTGTGTAATCTTAGAAAAAAAATCATAGTGGCTGATACGATGAACAATATTATATCTCCAAAAATCAAATGAAGGCTATACGAGTGGTTATGAAAACAAAAAAAGCCGTTCGGTTTTGTGAAAATGCCTATTATACTATATCTCTCAGTTTTTGCCTTTGGTTTCACTTAGACAGTTATTAACTTAATACATATTAATTATTAAGTATATCACTACTTTATTTCTAAAAAATTTCTTGGTTTTTCTCAACGAAACATAACATTTTTAATACTTGAAATAATATAAATCATGAAACCAATTTTCTTTTTTCTTTTTCAATCATAAGACTTCAAATTTAAGTAAAAATCGTCCGGTATTTCCCTCTTTTCTCTAAGAATTGATCTAACTACCCACAAGTAGCCGTCCACTGTTATAGTGAGNTCTCCAAAAATCAAATGAAGGCTATACGAGTGGTTATGAAAACAAAAAAAGCCGTTCGGTTTTGTGAAAATGCCTATTATACTATATCTCTCAGTTTTTGCCTTTGGTTTCACTTAGACAGTTATTAACTTAATACATATTAATTATTAAGTATATCACTACTTTATTTCTAAAAAATTTCTTGGTTTTTCTCAACGAAACATAACATTTTTAATACTTGAAATAATATAAATCATGAAACCAATTTTCTTTTTTCTTTTTCAATCATAAGACTTCAAATTTAAGTAAAAATCGTCCGGTATTTCCCTCTTTTCTCTAAGAATTGATCTAACTACCCACAAGTAGCCGTCCACTGTTATAGTGAGAACATAAAATAGTAAAAAACAGTGTTTTCAAATATGTTATTAAAGTCTTATAATATTTGTATTTAAGTTTTAGCGCTTTTTTACTAATAGTAAAACTAACCTACCCTCTCAAGTTGACAGAAGGGTTGAAACTAATTTAAAATTTATTTGTAAACTATTGAATCCCATTCCCTCTTAGAATGCCTCAACTTCGAAATTCCGTCATTTTTCCGAACATTACAATCTCCTTTTCTTATCTCCATATACATCACTAACTAGGCTATGAACCAACCCCGAGTTATAGAACTGAGAGTAGCCAACGAAGATCCGTCTGTTTTTATGAACTAGTCCAGTTATACTATTATTATTACGTATGTTATTATTAGGGTTATCAATTTATTATTCATAGTATACCTCCTAATGATATTAATGTATTGCCTGGTCAATTTTAACTATCGATTATTGTATGAACGACATGAACGTACTAAAAAAATACTTAAATGTACTCGTATTGTTGTAACTTAGGGATTCTGCCTATATTTAAAAAATAAATATTATAATTCCACTACCAGTGTATGGTAAATACTTAATCGACTTCACTCGAACTGTTTCAAAAAAAGAGAAGGCGAGTGAGGGAGAGGGTAAAAAAGAGAAAGTGAAAATATAGTTTAACGATGTTTAATATCATATTATCTAGCTAATTCTAGCATTACTATACAATCTTTGCTCGAAGTTTTTGACAATGCCTAATAATCGTTCAACGCAATTACGCAATCTAATTTATATATTATAATTTATAATCATAAAAAAATTGTTTACTTTTTTTGTTCAAAGGAACGTGTCATCTGTCGTGGTCCGTGTACATGCTAGGTTCTTCGGTGGCTCTACTCTTACTGTGCTTCTACCTGAGCTTCTACTCGTCCCGCGACAGCCCTGGCAATTCATTTCGTTCCATCTGATGAGTGCACGCTCAGGCCACAGCATCCTCCTCCGCACCTGACCCAGGATACGCCGCTGGCCATTATTTCTGTCGCACGTGAAACGCACATTGCTTGCAACTACAACGACAACGAAGACGACGAAATAACACAATTCAAACCAACCATTATCGCTCATTGTAAACTCTAACACAATAATAATATATTATATCGTATATAGTATTCTTCAAAAATCATATTATTATAACGGGTAGATAGGTACTTATGATATTATCATCATCATTATCATTATTATTATTATTATTCCAATAACTATGACTGTAGGTAC